GTGGCCAGCTCAGCCCACCAGGGGGCGGGGCTGGCTGGCATGTGGTGCTGGGGGATTGAACCGCGGTCCCTGCGCTTTGCTAAGCTTGTTCTAAGTAGGTGCTTTAGACCACTGAGCCATCTCGCCAGCCCGATTTTCTATTTCTAGAAAATGAAAAAAAAAATTCTTCAATTTTAAATTTTTTACATAAAGTGTTTTTTTAATTTCTAAGTAACATAATACTACATACAAACTGTTGTCCCATATCAGAATTAAATGTTCTGTTTTAATTAGGGCATGTTAAGACTATATTCCAAATAATAATAATAAACCAACAATTAAAAATAGCCATGCTTCACAGAAGCTTCCCCTTCCTCTCAAGGTTCACAAGCCTAGGATCTCACAAATACCTTTCCTTTGGAGTGAGGGATCCCCAGAGGGCACTGATGAACTCCACCTAACAGAGCAGCCATAGCAAAACTGTATCCACTAACAGCTTCTGGTGATGTCTTCAAGTTGTTCAGCCGTTCTGCACACCTGTCTAAAAATGGTGTCAACTGAAAAGGTAATGCCACAGCCACACAGCGCAAACACCATGCAGCAGCAAGTCGAGCAGCTATGCTTGGATGAAGGAGCACTGAAGTGACAATCTCCAAAAGGCCTGAAAAATCAAAGATTCAAGTATTACTCTGATTTCAAAAACTAAAAGATTATATGCAACACAATAATGACAACAAGTGGTCTTTTTGCTCTTGCTGCTTTTGCTGTCTTTCACCACCATGAACACTGCCCTGTGACAGGCCACCCTGCCTTGGAGCCCATGATTATGGACTGAAACCTCTACAAACTATGAGCTAAATAAACCTTTCCTTCCTTAAAAAAAAAAAAAATAATGACAACAATCACCATGACTTTACTCAGTTTCACAACTTTGCCAAAACAAAACAACAAATATTCTGTTCATAAACAATAAAGAGCTTTCATGGACTAAAGAAACAAAGAATATATAGAATAATCATATCCAATAGTCAAAATATTGATGAAAAATTAAAGTCTTCAATGGTTTTTCAATTAGAAACAACATCTATAACTATGATTGGTCTCCAGAAGTTTTACCTATTTAGCTCAATATTCCTTACCACAAAGAAGATAAAAAAACCTCTATGATTGCAACTGCAATTATGATAATAAACAACTGGCCAGGAGTTGACTATCAATCATACCTATGACTGCAAAAAACAGTAAGAAAATACTGCAGCAAGTAACTGGATGCCGTACCTATAGATGCTTCCTGAATAAGTGGAGAAGCAGTGGCGTTCAGGCTCTGTACCAGGCTCCCAAGCTCCTGCAGGGCACAGACCATCACGTGCTGGCTCGCTGCAATGTCTGCTGCACCTGATTTGTTCTCACTACTTGTATCATTCACTACTGCTTCTGGAAACACAAAATTACATAGTTGATGACATGAGTGAATTGAACTGTCCGTGGGTAAATTGCAATATTATATTTTTCATCTACACAATTTGTATTTTTAACCATTCCACTTGGTATTTAGGAGTTAAAAATTCTATGCAGTTATCATTTACTGTAAAATTTTTATAACTACATACTGAATTGACTTAAAATACTGTTTAATGACCTTATGACAATGTTAAAATTTATACAACACAGTGTTTCTAGAATACAACTTAATTTTAGTAAGCAGCAGCAATTCAGTGTTTTAAAAACACACTTAAGGAGGAGGAGATCTCAGTTCAAAACCAATTCACCCTGTTCTGTTTTCAGTTTCAGTCCCTCGTTGGAACTATCTGACATCACCATGCTCAGTCGAGAGGATGGCAGGCCACCACTGAAAGACGGGATGCCTCCTTGCTCACACTGGGCCTTTCTCAAGACGGCAAGCAGTATACAGGGTCCACACGGTGGGGGCACATACTATGACCAAGGAGAGTACTGGTTTCCCTTTACCCACGTGCATTTTAGCCCATCTGGCTAATTTTTCATTTATCCTCTGATATCAGACTTTTGCTGCCACCTCAGGATAAGTGAAGGACCAAACTGGAGACACAGCCTGTCAGCGATCATGAATTCCTTCACAAATATTTTTCTAGTTGTGAAAATAGGACAGATTTTTATTTAAGTATGAGATGGAGTGTGTGAGCATGTGAGTGTGTGTGCGTGTGTGTGTGTGTGTGTACGTTCATGTTCTGGTTTTGTTTGTATGTTTTTGTTTAAATATACACGTATATTCATATATTTGTTTTGTCTTTCACAGTGGTGGGATGATGCTCAGGGCCTCTTGCATATTAAGCAAGCCCTCTATCATTGGACTATATCCTTAACTATTTAAACAATATCTAAAGAACAATTATTTCACTAATTCAAATACACTTTAATTCATAATTCCAATTTTTCAATTAGCCTTATACATTTACAAAATAAAATAGGGTTGGAGACATAGCTCAGTGGCACAGATGCTTGCCTAGCCCGAGTTTGTTTTTTGGTACCAAAAAGATTAAAATAAAATGCTATGGTATAATAATCCTTTTTTTTTTTTCCCCAGAACCGGGGATTGAACTCAGGCCCTTGCGCTTGCCAGGGAAGTGCTTACTCCACTGAGCCATCTCCCCGGCCCCGCTATGGTATAATAAATGAGAAAATAACAACTCTTTTTCTTTCTTTCTTTCTTTCTTTTTTTGTGGAACCGGGGACTGAACTCGCCCTTGCGCTTGCCAGAGAAGCGCTTATTCCACTGAACCATCTCCCCAGCCCCCAACTCTACATTTTCATTAACTGTTTATAAAATGTTTATATTTTCTCTAAAAATAAATTACTAGTTATAACTATTCACTAACTCCTTATTTCTAAATATTTCTTGTAGGCAATTTACTTTGCCTTAGTAAGATTAACGTCTATTTTGAAGAACATTAAAACCAAATTATCTTAAAGAATTTATATCTTGCTTTAGTCCACTGACTGATTATAAACTGCATTAGAATTTTATCTCACTTCATTATTTAAACACTGAATTATTGCTCTGCAAATCTCAAGACACTCAAAAACTATTTGTTAAATTTAAAAATACATGTTTTAGGGCCGGCGAGATAGCTCAGCCAGACTAAGCTTCTGCTAAGTGCAGAGACCAGGGTTCAATCCCCAGTCCCAGTCCCGGGGTGGGCTGAAAACAGGAGGATCACTACAAATCCAAGCTGCGTAGTGAGGTCCTATACCAAAATACATGAATGAAAAAAAAAAAACAAAACATGTTTTAGTAAAGAATTTTAGTGGGGTGCAGCTGGATAGAAGAAATCCTTTCTAATGTCCTTATAGCACAGTAGCATGACTACAGTCGACAACAATTAATTGAATACTTTAAAACAGCTTACTAGAAAGGAAGATGAATGTTCACAACACAAAGAAATGACCAGTGTTTGGAACAAAAAATATGCCAATTATCCTGGTCTTAGGATTACATATTTTATACATCTATTAAAACATACACTGTACCTCATAAATACACATAAACATTGTATCAATTAAAAATTTAAAAATATCAATTACTGATATTTCATAATATACTTCACAGGGGGTAACAACTACATATAACTGTTCCTAAGACTTCATATTGAGCCACTGGGTGGAGAGAGAATAAGACAAAAAGAGTATGTGTTTATAAAAGAATATATGGCGGGGCCAGGGCTATAGCTTAGTGGTACAAGCAGCTGCCTGGCAAGTGCAAGGTGCTCAGTTCAATTCCTGGTACCCCCCCAAAAAAGGTTAATGTATAAAAGAATATATGCCCCATGCAGAAAAACTACAATAGATTATTTCTTGAAGACTGAAACCAATGTGCTACTGTATTTCAAGAAAGTTATAAAACATAGGTAGTACCAGGTATGGTGTCACATTCCTATAATCCTAGCAGATTAAGGCTAAGGCAGAAGATCACCCTGAGTTCAAGGACAGCCTGGGTTACATAGTATGTTTAAAGTCAGCCTGAATTACAAAGTGAGGGTCTAATTAAAAATAACACAACACAACATAACATACAGGCAGTAGGAATTAAAACAGGAAGCCTAATTTTACAAATGCCACTTAAATCTCTAAAACTCTATTTTAAAATTTAATTTTTTGGTTTGCTTTTTTTTTCTGAGACAGGGTCTCACTGTGTAACTCCGGCTGGTCTTAAACTTCCTATGCAACCCAGGCTGGCCTCAAACTCACAGAGATCGTCCTGCCTCAGTCTCCCAAGTGCTGAGATTATAGATGTGCACCATGACACACGGCTCTAAAACCCTATTTTATTAAAATGATGTAATATTCAAAAGTTCTCAATAAAAGTAACTATGAGAATACATCTAAAAAGTTAACTATTAATCAGATCTATTAATAATAATAAAGAACTAAGATGAAGGTCAAATACTTCCTCAAACTACGAATTCCATTGTTTATACTACTAGTTTATTCGCTGACAAGAAAGATCTGTATTGCTGCTCCTTTTTTTTTAAAAGAACCTTTCTCATTTATGTCTTATACTCTGGGTACCTATTCTGAAGACAATATACAATATCAGCTATAGTCATTCTCTTATTTGATTATGCAATTTTATTTTTTCACAAAATAAAAAAATTAAAATAAAGAATTAAAAGACTAAGATAACATCACATGTTGCATAATAACTCTTACCTACTGCTTTCATTTGTTTTCCAATAGCTTGACAGATCTCTTTAGCAGCTGCTATCTGGGCTTTTTCACCCAGCAAACTCCCGACAGTAGCTCTTAGGATAAAGGACACACACCGTCTTGAATACACAGCCTCCACATGTGTTTGTGTTGCCCGAGGGTGGGAAACGAGATCAAGTACGTGGGACAAGAATGTAGCAAAGCTTCGTTCCAGCCACTGACCACCCAAAGTTGTTACAAAAACAACGTATGCCTATGAACGCAGCAGAATACAGCATTAGTCACACACACACACATACATATACATACGAACAGAAATCAAAGATGAACAGAAACACCTGTTGGAAGCACACAAAATAAATTATATTTAAGATTAAAATACAGAAAATTTAAACTTTACACCTTTTTAGGACTTCTAGCACGGAACTATTGGTAAAGAATCTTTGACTAAAACAGTTATTATAAGAGTTTCATGAATAGCACAAGAAAAGACAGGTGTGGAGAATACACCCTTAAAATTCCAACATGCTGAGAGACTGAGGCAAGACTGCAAATTCAAACCCAGCCTACCTAACTTAGTAAATGAGACTGTTTCAAATTAAAAAGTAAAAAGGGGCTATTTTTCTCTCATATCTCAGTAAGAAATCTAAAAAAAAAAAAAAGACTGGGAAGGGAGAGGATAAAGACTGACTACATCCGAGCAAACAAGAAGGTAATGGTATAAAGTAAGAAAACCTTATCCTGAATAAATACTGACTCAGTTGCAGTATAGTCTCTGTAGGATAAAAATGATTTACTTTCATTGTACACTCGTTTCCGAGACAAGATAAAGTTGTGATGACTAACTAAAATAATGAAAATTCATTTCACTGTGTTAGGTGTTATTATTAGATCATTAACCATAACATCTTACTTGGTGTTAATCTGGCATTATAAATCAAACTCAGAATTAATCTTATAGTTACTTTGAAAATTAATGGGGCCAGGGAGAAGGCTCAGTAGAATAAGTGCTTGCCTGGCAAGCACAAGAGCCTGAGTTCAATTCCTGGTTCTGCCAAAAAAAAAAAAAAGAAGAGAGTCCCGGGTCCCCTGCTGGGGAAGAGCCACCTATGGAATGGGGCTGTGATTCATGGGGCCGGGGAGATGGCTCAGTGGAATAAGTGCTTGCCTGGCAAACACAAGGGCCTGAGTTCAATCCCTGGTTCTGCAAAAAAAAAAAAAAAAAAAAAAAAAAAGAAAAGGAAATTAATCATGAGCTGGGAAGATAGCTCAGTAGAATAAGCGCCTGCCTGGCAAGCGCAGGGTCCTGAGTTCAATCCTTGGTACCGCAAAAAAAAAAAGAAAATTAATCATTGATATTTTAAATATAGGGTCACTAAACAGTAACCACAGGGTCACAGGAGATTATTAAAATCTAAATGCCTTAGGCTGGCCAGATAGCTCAGCAGACTAAAGCGCCTGCTTAGGCAGAGTGCAGTGGCCGGGTTCCATCCCTGGTGTGATGTACCGGCCCCGCCCCCAGGGTGCTCTGAGACAGTGATTGAGACTAGGCATGGTGGCACATGCCTGCAAACCCAACACTTGGGAGATGAAAGCAAGAGAATCACTACGAGTCCGATCTATGTAGTGAGCCCCTGTAGACCCTGTACTAAATGCATAAAAAACAAAAAAATCTAAATGCCTCAAGCTACCTGCAGTAGCTACCCCAAGGCATCAACATCTGAAGGCAGTTTCAATTGAAACTGAATTATTTTATATTTCACTTGTTGACATGCTAACGTTCTTTAAATATTGATAGATTATATGGTAGACATAAACTTATTTTCAAATCAAGAATCTACCTTGGGGAACAACCCGCTCGGGCCCCCCTCCTGTCCCTCTCTTGGACAGGAACTTTCTTTCCCTCAATAAATACATTCTGCTCATAAAATAAATAAATAAAACAATCTACCATGCCATATATGTACACAATTTGGAATTTTAATGTAATTCATTCACTTGGTCAAAGAAATGTTTTTGAAGACACCAGACCATATTAAAATCTGTGTGTGCTACTATTTAGTCTTTTATGATAGTTAACAAAATTAGAAATACATATTACAAACCTGAGTAACTCCGACTCTCACTTCACGATTTACAGACCCTCCAACTTTTAACATTTCTCCACCACTCTTTAAGAAACCTGACCCTCCACGTAGAAATCCTGTGGCCATCAGTTCTAAAACTTCATCAAGTGTTGCTCGTTTCACATTCTGACGCATTACTTTAAAGAAGACAAATTTGTAAGCAAACACATTTCTGAAACAGATTTTTGTTGTCAGTTAAATCATATTTCTGAGTTCAACTTTAAAATTCAAGTGATGAATTTTAAGAATATTACACTGGAAATAAAGGCATTTAGTTTTCTTATACCCTTGAAATTTAAAATGTACCTGAAAACCTGAATTCAATTTTTTCTGAATTCAATTTTAAAGTAAAAAAAGATACAACAAAATAGGAGTTAAAAAATAAGGCAATTCAGTAAATCTGTCAAATACTGTGGTCTAATAAAAGTGATATGTGGAATACAACATGAACAAAGCCCATACCAGATATTGCTAATTTTTTTTTCTTCTTTTTAAGACAGAGTCTCACTATGTAGTCCAGACAGGCTTCAAACTCAGTGATCCTCCAGCGTCAGCCTCTCCCAATCCCATGTGGGATTACAGATGTGTATCACCATGCCTGGCCAGATACTCCTAACTGAGCAGAGTTCTTATTCCCAATGAGGTGAACAAAAGAAACTTCTAAACAGGAACTACCAGTGGATTAATATGCAACTGAGAATACAGCCTAACTTACTGTCCCTGGTCTTGAGTGCTTTCACTTAGGGTAACAAACAGTCTTTGGGGCCAGGGAGATAGCTCTGTGGCATAAGTGCCTGCCTGGCAAGCTCCAAGGTCCCCCGAATTCAATTCCTGGTACCTCAAAAAAAAAAAGGAAAAGGAAAAGAAAACACAGCTCTTATAAAAATTCTGTAGAGAAGGTGTAAAGCTTATAGGTAAGTATACAGGCTTTGGAATTTGACTGCCTGGGTTTAAATTTCAGTCTTCATACCTGATAGAATACAAGTTACATAACTCAAGCCTCAATTTTTCCCATTTATAAAATCATAAAACAATGGTACTTTTAATTCACAGAGTGAATGAAAAAACAATTCTGTAATAAAACTAATCCAATGCCTAGCAATACTTAGAAATGTTATATTATCGTTAACTAATGAAATAATTATAATTAAAGATAAAGAAACAAAAAGCCTAAGAAATTAAGTAGGGTTTCACAAATAACAATTCTAAGGGCTAAGACCTGACCCTAAAACATCTGATTCTTTTTACTGCACAGAGAGAGAGAGTAAGGGGAGGGACAACAGGGTCCTCCCCATGTGCTGTGGGTTCTGTCCTTGTGGTGCACTTACTACAACCATCCCTGAGACATCTCTATGGAACTGTCACATAAAAACAGAGCAGAAGTCACATAAAAAAAGAAAATCAATGCTGCCTCTGATTCCACTTATAACAGTCAAGAAAAAAATAAAAATTACACTGTAGAACAAATGGGGATTTATCAAGACTAAAAGCAAGAAATTAGCACACAAGTTACGAGAACTCTATACTTTTATGCAAAACCATTTCATAAATCTCAAAAAGTACAGTGAATTTTTAAAATAAAAATTATTATATGACACACTGCCATCAATCCCCCTCAAAACACTCCCCACACTTCAAACACTCTTGCTCCACCATTCTCGCCACTTGTGAAACAGTTCTGGACCCTGTGGGGACTAACTTTTCATGGTACCTGGATGTCCTTAATTAGCTCAAAATGTTTTTGGAAATCTCTGTCAAATAAAAACATTACTGTGTCTTCTCATCCATTTTATTCAAAGGATCAACCACTATGCAACTTCTGGCTTTTCTTCAAAGTCAAAATAACCAGGAAAAATAAACATTTTTAATCATATCAGCACATTGAATCAGCCACAACAGCTCAAAGACATAAGAGATGTCTAGAACTGTTTCAGAAAGTGTCTCGAATGATGGGATAAAGGTGTACTAGAAAAGGGATAAGATTCTGAGGGGGATTAATTACAATGTGTCTTTTACAATTATTTTCAAAAATTAAAATTTGGTCCAGGAGATAGCTCGGTGGTCTAAGCACCTGCCTGGCAAGAGCAAGGTCCCAAGTTCAATTCCCAGTACCACATGCCTTGCTGGCCCTGCACTGAGCCAGCCAGCCACCAAAAACAGGTGTGGTGGCACAAGCCTGTAATCCCAGCGCTGGGGAGGCTGAGACAAAGAGAATCACTATGAATCTGAACAGTGTAGTGAGACCTTGTATCAAACAATAAGTAAATATTTTAAATGTAAAATTCACCTTATGTTTTATATCTCATTTGTATATTATCTCATAACATTTTTTGATATATCAAGCAAAGCGCCATTTAAGAACCAGGTGTGATGGTGTACACCTTTAATCTCAGCACTTGGGATGCTGAGGCAAGAGGATTTCTGTGAGCTCAAGGCCAACCTGAATTACATAGTGAGACCCTGCCTCAAAAAAATAAATAAATAAATAAATAAACAAATAAATCCTACCTGTAAGTAATAACTATAGATGATGGATGACTTGTTTATACATAACTAATTTAAAAGGAAGCATAAACCTTCAAATTATCTGCTAACTTATGTAATGAATTGGCAAACAATACCTGTGGCCTGTTTTGGCATTAGTGCTGTGGCCATGACTGTGCCTAAGAGTTTAGCCACTGACACTCGTACTCCGTAGTTTGAGTTTTCCAAAGCCTTAAAGCAGAGAGTAGCTATATTTTCCAGTTCAGCAGTCCACATGAACACAGCTTCATTTTGGAGTTCCAACAGACACTGGAATTAAAAACAAAAGCCAAAATTATTACATCCTAGAACTTTTGCTTCCAGAGATGGACTAACAAAACAAGATATAAGATGAACATGCCTACAATCCCAGCAATTTAAGACACTGACGCAGGAGGATCAAAGCCACCCTGGGCAACTTACTGGGAGATCCTGTCTCAATATGAAATGAAATAAAATAAAAGGCCAGCCAGATAGCTCAGCGGATTAAAGCCCCTACTTAGGCAGAGCACAGGGGCCGGGGGTCTAAGCCCTGGCCTGCAGTGCCGGCCCCGCCCCTGGGCAGCTACTTAACGTGACACTTTGGTGGTGTAGAGGAGTGGTGTGGGGCGGGGCAGGAAGGTAAGGAACCCCGGCACTTTACACTGTGCTCGCTATATCCTGAGTCCCTTTTATAAATTTTTTAAAACTTTGAGACAGTTTCAATGCATCACTAAATTGCCAAAGTTGAACCAGAAGCTGTGATCCTCTCACCTCAGTTTCCAAGAAAGCTAAGGAAAGACAGTAAAGTACAATCTGAACACAAATGCTGCAAGGAGAAACCAATAACCTAAATAAATAGAAAGACATATTGTGTTCATAGGTTAGGAGACTTAAAACTGTTAAGATATATATTCTCTTCAAACTGACCCCTAAGTTCAATACAGTCTGAATCAAAACTTTAGCATGTTATTTTTGTAGACACTGATTAGCTAATTATAAAATTCATATAAAAATACAAAGTGCCGCTCTGAGGAGGCCGACATGGCAGCAGTAGCTGCTCTTCATGGGGTGGTGCTGGGCTCCCTGGCTCATGTGTCCGGGGCCTGCTAGGCGGCGCGCGGCCCGGGCAGCTCCCGCTGCTGACCCCTCAGGCAGTGTCCTTGTCTTTGAAGTCTGGTTTTTCCTGCAGTCAGAAGGTGATGCTGTCAGCGCTGGGCATGCTGGCGGCAGGGGGTGCAGGACTGGCCATGGCTCTCCATTCTGCTATGAGTGCCAGTGACCTGGAGCTGCACCCCGCTAACTACCCATGGTCTCACCATGGCCTCCTCTCCTCCTTGGACCACATCAGCATCTGGAGGAGCTTCCAGGTATATAAGCAGGTGTGCTCCTCCTGCCACAGCATGGACTACATGGCTTACCGCCACCTCGTGGGCGTGTGCTACATGGAGGAAGAAGCAAAGGCCTTAGCTGAAGAGGTGGAGGTCCAAGATGGTCCCAATGAGGATGGGGAGATGTTCGTGCGACCTGGAAAGCTGTCTGATTACTTCCCTAAACCATACCCAAATCTTGAGGCCGCCAGAGCTGCCAATGGAGCCTTGCCTCCTGATCTCAGCTACATCATCTGAGCAAGGCACGGTGATGAAGACTGTCTTCTCCTTGCTCACAGGCTACTGCGAGCCACCCACTGGGGTGTCCTTGCGAGAAGGCCTCTACTTCAACCCCTACTTCCCTGGCCAGGCCATTGATATGGCCCCTTCCATTTATACTGATGTCTTGGAGTTTGACGATGGCACTCCAGCTACCATGTCCCAGGGAGCTAAGGATGTGTGCACCTTCCTGCGCTGGGCATCTGAGCCAGAGCATGACCCCTGAAAATGGATGGGGCTCAAGATGTTGATGATGTTGGGCTTGTTGCTGCCACTGGTCTACGCGATAAAACAGCATAAGTGGTCCGTCCTGACGGGTAGAAAGCTGGCATATCGGCCTCCTAAAAGACCCTGTCCAACATCTGCTTGCCATCTTGCCTGAACAGGCCTTCAAGCCCAGGAGCCATCCCAGGCCTTACGTGGCCCACTCTGCCCAGTCTCTGTTTGGGTGGAGGGGAGAGGGCAGGAGACCTGGCTCTTGTTCCACACCTTCTTTCAGCCCTCATCTTGGGAATAAATGAAATTGTTCAAAATAAAAAAAAAAAACAACAAAGTGCCCAAAATAGGTTAAAATCACTTTGAAAAAGAAAAAAGTTAGGGGGCTGGTGAGATGGCTCAGTGGTCTGAAGCACCTACTTAGAACAAGCTTAGCAAAAGCACAGGGACTGCGGTTCAATCCCCCAGCACCACATGCCAGCCAGCCCCGCCCCCTGGTGGGCTGAGCTGGCCACACACACAAATAAATAAATAAATAAATAAATAAATTTTAAAAAAAAAGAAAGAAAAAGGTTAGGGTGCTAACACTGTCTGATTTTAAGACAATACCAAGTTAAATAATCTAAAAAAATGGTGTGGGGAAAGAAAAATAAAAATAGTGTGGGCATCAACATAAGCAAATCAAACAGAAGTCTAAAAATCTTTAATACATAGACGCAGACAATGTTGAACACAGTGCAAAGACAATTTAATGACGAAAGACTTCAACATGCTACTGAAACAAACACGTATATACAAAAAAAAAACAACCTTTGACTCATCCCTTACACCATATATAAAAGTTATGTACAAAGCAAGTCATATATCTAAGTATAACATTAATAAACTTTAGAAGGAAACAAAGATAATCCTCGGTTAGAAAATTTTTTCTTAGCTATAACAATCCATAAAGGGGCTGGGAAGATAGCTTAGTAGAATAAGCACTTTCCTTGCAAGCACAAGGTCCTGAGTTCAATCCCCAGTACTAAAATAATAATTAAAAAATATAACAATCCATATAAAATATTCAAAGCTGGACTTAAGAAAAATTAAAACTTTCTGTTCCTCAAAAAACATTATTTAGAGAATAAAAATCACAGACTGGGGAGACCTACAAAACACCTCAAAACTTAACATAAGAAAAATTCAAAATGCTGAGTAAATGATTTGACTAGCTCTTCCTTTAAAGGCAACACTGACAACAAACATGAAAATATGTTCATCATTAGTCATTAGGGAAATGTTATGGCTTGTGTCAAGATGTTTCCCTAAAGTTTCATGTGGTCACAGATAGAGCTTTTCAGAAGTGGATCTGGAGTGTATGACTGTGGGATTAAGGATGCTATACTGGGATTGATTCATGGAGCAATGCTAGGATTAAGAGTACGCCACCCTGGGTGTGAGTGCTCCCCACCCTAAGAGCAAGTAGACTGGAAAGAATACAAGGGACAGAAAGAGGGCTGCTGTGGTTGTATGGTCTTTCACTTGCTACTTTTCTGCTTGTTGTCTTCTACCTGCCAGAAACTGTTTCTCCCCTATGATGTCCCTCTGTCCTGCCACTCTGCCCTGCAACCAGCCACTACAGACTGAAACCTCAATAAATTGAGCCAAAATAAATCTTTCCGAGGGCTGGGGAGATAGCTCAGCAGCATAATCGCCTGTCTGGCAAACACAAGGTCATGAGTTCAATTGCTGGTACCAAAAAACTAACTAACCAACTAAGTAACTAAACAAACTTTTCCTTCCTGAACTTTGTATGTGGGAATTCTGTCTCAGTAAGAAAACATAACTAAGAGGGAAAGTGAAAATTAAAGCCACAAAGAGATACCTATATGTATTTATAGAATGACTAAAACTAAAGACTCTCAGTAACAAATAATAGTGAGGACACGAAGGAAGTAGTCTTAAACTGATGGGACAGAAAACTGCAGAAAAGGAAAATGGCACAAGTACTTTAGAAAATGGGTAGGTAGTATCCTAAACAGGCAAACATAAATCTACCATGTGACCTAGCCATTTCACTCCCTGGTATTTACCCAAGGAAATGAAAACATACATTCAGGCAAAAACTTGAACACAGATGTTCACAGAAGCTTTTTTGGTAAGAGCCACAACTAGAAGCAACCCAAATGTTTACAAAAGGTGAAGGACAGCCTTTTTACCAAGATGGCGCCAAAAGCAAAGAAGGAAGCCCCTGACCCTCCCAAAGCTGAAGCCAAAGCAAAAGCTCTGGAGGCCAAGAAGGCCATGCTGAAAGGCATCCACAGCCACAAAAAGAGGATATGAACATCACCCACTTTCCACTGTCCCAAGACACTGCGGCTCTGGAGGCAGCCCAAATACCCTCAGAAGAGCACCCCCAGGAGAAACAAGCTTGACCACTATGCCATCATCAAGTTCCCCCTGACCACAGAGTCAGCCATGAAAAAGATCAAGGACAACAACACTCGTGTTCATCATGGATGTCAAAGCCAAAAGGACCAAATCAAGCAAGCTGAAAAGAAGCTGTATGACATCGATGTTGCCTAGGTCAGCACCCTAATCAGGCCTAAAGGAGACAAGAAGGCATATGTTTGACTGGCTCCCAATTATGATGTATTGGATGTTGCCAACAAAATTCGGATCATCTAAACTGAGTCCAGCTGGCTAATTCTAAATGTATACTTTTTTCCCAGTAAAAAAATGAAAAAAAATACACGGTGAAGGAATAAACAAACATGGCATATCCATAAATAAAATACTACTTAATAAGTAATACGAACATTTTTTTTTCCTGGAAGCAGGGACTGAACTCAGGCTCTTGCACTTGCCAGGCACGCACTTATTCTACTGAGCCATCTCCCCAGCCCCTGATCAATTGTTATGGTTTGTGTCTAGGTGTCCCCCCAAAGCCTCAGGCAGTCATGGGGCAGCTTCTGGAGTTGTGATTATTTTGGGTGTGGATGCTGTACCCAGCCTCGGCCTCGGGCAGGTAATTTGCATTACAATGTAAGAAGGAAAGTTAGGTGCCAGAGCTGCAGCTACTCTTTTTGTGTGCTCCTGCTCTTTGCTGCCCCCATGAAAGGTTGCCCTAGGCCATGTGCCAGGCTGCCTTGGAGCCAGCTGAATATGGACTGAAACCTCCAGTAACTGTGAGCTAAATAAACCTTTTCTTCCCTATTTTGCGTGTCAGATATTTGTCCCAGCAACGAGAGAAGAATAACTAAGAAAAACATTTGAGATATATAATACACAATGTATGTGAATTTCAAAATAATTACGCTTCATGAAAAAAGCCACAACATATATATACACAAAAGTATGTGTCACAATTCCATTTATATATAATTCTAACCCTCTAGAAAATAGTAACCAATTCATGAAAACAAGAAACATTTTAACATAATTCAAAACATTAAAAGAAAAAATTATCATAAACTAAGAGCAAGCAGAATACGGAGCAGCATTATATATTGGTCCATACTAACCTTGGCCACTGCACATCGAACAGCCATTGATCTGTCAGTTAAGAGGGACCTGGCGTTCTTGTAAATATCTCGATGAGAGGAAGCTGCTGCACCACCCAATCCATTTAGAACTTTCTGTAGACTCATTAAGATTTCACTTCGCCCTTGAGACTATATGTACACATAAAGCTCAGAACTATTACTATAATACAATTCCATGTTTAACAAAAACATACCAAGAAACAATTCCTTAAGCCTAATGATCTTACTTTCAAATTGTAACAACATAATTTTTTAAAAGTAAAATAAAATATCCTAGCAAGTACTTGAAAGGTAGGAATTAACAACTTCAATTGTTTTATGAAAAATTAAGTTAGATGTGAGCATATTCCAATAGTTCCGTTATATAGTACAATATAAGAATACAACAGAAGATCATGAATAGATTTAAAAGTTTTGATATCATCTCTCAAGAGACCATAGTGTCAGAATGTAAAAGATGAAATAAAAGTAGTTAAAATAATAAAAACCATTAAGGAGGAAGAAGAAAACACCTACATATTTTAAAGACATCACAGAAATACATTAAACCCTCATTTTCTTGTCGCTGACTCAAACTGTCTCTGTACTGTCACAATGCTTATACTTATTTCTAATACTATAGTTGCTATAGCATATCATACTACCTATTCACATACAGACCTCTTCCACTAGACTGTAAGCTTTTTGAGGTCAGGAACCATGTCTTATTCACCTTTATATACCTAATGTCCAACTCATAAAATGTTCTCTATTCTTGTTTAATAGATTGACAAAAGTTCCCAGAAAAGGTTATCATCTGAAGGATTGTTTAGTTTTCTTGGACAAAAGAATCAGCTTGCCAAGAGTCATGAGACAAGGAATTTATACTGGTAACCAAATTGACATGACAAAACAACTATTTTTACTTGGTATTAACTGTCATGGGTTGAACTATGTTCTGCTAAAAAATAATACAAGTCCTAAACCCTGCTATATGTGAATATGATTTCATTTGAAGACAGAGTCTCTCGAGATAAAAATCAAATAAACATGAAACCATACTGGTTGAAATCCCTGGCAACCACTAGAACCAAGAACAGAGGAAGCATTTTTCTCTAAGGCTTTTCAGAGAAAGCATGGCCCTACTGACACTTGGATTCAGACTTCCAGTTCCCAGAATAGTGAGAAAATAAATTTCTATTATTTTAAGTAGGTGATAATTTATTATGAAATACATAGGAAGTAGGAATGCATAAAAAATATAATGCCAATACAAAAAATACAATTAATTAAAAAATAGGTAAACCTTTTCTTTATCAAGGAGAAGTATTCTTTTCCCTCTTCCTAATATTTTAAGTAATATTAAAGAAAAGAGAAGTAAAAATCTGAAATTACTTAGTAGTATGCATATCACAGTGACAAAAAATTTTAACTAACATCTAACTCTTGCTATGCCAAAACATTTAAATAATCTTTGTTGTAAAACTTACCTCTGCATTTTTCAGAGATTTCAAAAGATTATTTACTGTTTCTGGAAAGGCACTGCCTAACATTCTCCCCATTTTTTCATAAAATGCTCCAACACAAGCCACTGCAGCCCTATAAGAACATTTTCACTGGTCATATTTCATCTTAATAATATACTTATCTCATTTTTAGAAATTAGTATTCGTCTAGGACACTTTCACCTATTATGACCCTTAACAAATATTCAGCTATCAAAAGAACATTAACACTATAGTAAGGCCTGGGGATGTACCTCAGCGGCATAGCACCTGCCTGGCAAGCACAAGTTCCTGAGTTTGGGGGCTGGGGAGCTGGCTCAGTAGAATAAGCGCTTCCCTGGCAAGCACAAGGGTCTGAGTTCAATCCCCGGTTCCACCAAAAAACCCCAAGTTCTTGAGTTTAACTCCCAGTTAAAAAAAAAAAAAAAAAAAATCTTGTTAGAAATACAAATTAAGTATGTATACAATAAATCATACTCCTCTGGAAAGTAACCCGAGCTTTCCTTTTCTGAAGACTTTCAAAATTATGCTGATCTACAATAACTTCTTTTTTCATTACATATAAAACATTCAGTATCAATCACTCATTATAACAGATTTGTATCACTGAATGTGTTGTGACCTGGTTACATGATGTACCTCTAATCATCTCTGAAGAAATGTAAACTCCAGAAACAGGAAAAGTCTACAGCCATTCCACCCTGAACATGCCCGATCTTGTCAGAAATAAGAAAAATGTTTTTATATTTATACAGTTCATAGTGCCTGCCACTTAATTTTTAAATAGTAAAATATTGTATATAAAGCCTGTGAAATTTAATCCAAATTGCTTTAATACAACACTTGGCCATGTATAAGAAATTCAGTAAAATGTCCAGGAGCACAAAAGTAAACTCACTATCATTCTGTCAATAGTAAGAAAATGGCTATGAGCTTAGCTTAGAGGCTACTTAAATCTTCCATCAGAGTATGAAATCAGTTATCACTTACATCAGTAGGCATGTTTGTATCCTAATAAAACTTTATTTACAAAGCAGGCTAGACGTAGCCAGTAAGCTATGCTTTGCCTATTCCTGCCATAGTTTCAGCATCTAGAAATTCTTTGCTTTCTGTCTCAGACAAATCTCCATCCAAATTTATTCAAAGACCCCTGTGCAAATGGCTAACACCATATAAATTCTCTATAGTGTATTAAAGTCCTGGGGCGGGGGAGATCAATATATAGGAGAAGACTCTCCCCAAATCTACTTCAAACTTTCATTGTCAGCAACAAATTGCAAGTTCCAGCCACCTGGGGGTCTTTACAGTCAGTAGTCCATTACTAAGTTATCTTGTAAGAACAAATAAAACTTCAAAGGTTGGGGCCAGGGAGATGGCTCAGTAGAGTAAGCGCTTGCCAGGCAAGCGCAAGGGCCTGAGTTCAATCCCCTATTCCGCCAAAAAAAATAAAAATAAATAAAAAATAAAAAAGTTTCAAAGGTCCCTATCAAAGTAGGTACTTACAGTTTTGTTGGTAAGTAGGCTGCAGTATCATCTTTATTTCTGATAATGTCATTACATTTATCAAGTGTTTGAAAAACTGTAAAAGTATCCCCAATGCTATACAGGGCTGCAAGATTTTTAGCTAATAATTTTCGTGTAGGCGGTCCAGGTGAACTACTTATTAATCCAGTTAACTGTTCAACCAGTTTTTTCTGTTTTTCCTTTACATCAGTCTGTTGTAAAAAAAAAAAAAAAAAAAAAAAAAAATTTAATTTTAAAAAGCATCATTTTTCTTATGCTTTCTATTAGTTTTTAAGCAGAATTTTTAAATACTTAACATTTAAGGTACTCTAATAATTAAAATATACTTCACATTAGACATAAACCACAAATGATAACTTTCACATTAAAAAGTTCACTAAGAGGGGCTGGGAAGATGGCTCAGTGAAATAAGCGCTTCCCTGGCAAGCTCAACGGCCTGAGTTCAATCCCTGGTTCTGCCAAAAAATAAATAAATAAATAAATAAAAAGTTCACTAAGAAATGATCTATTCCTTCCAAGCATAAATACTTATTCCCCTCCAATGACAAAAAGTTAGTTTCCATAAAAGTAATTCTACCCAAAACTTCTAGGTCAGTTTAATACTAAAGAAGCCAACAAAGAATTCAAAATATTGGGCATATGGATGCTTTAAACTGATGCTTTAAAATACAGACCAGTTTTCCCTAAAGAAGTCAGGAGTTCATAAAGTTACAGGTAGGTGAAGGAAAATCAAAATAAAATGGAGAGCCCTAGGCAGCAACACAACGCTCAGATCTACCTATAATTAATATCTAGAATTGATTCGTTCAAGAAATACTGTGTCATGTATCATTCTAGGCACTAGGCCAAAGTGAATAAATCAAACATCCTACATTCATGATGTTTACATTCTACTGGGGAAGGACAAAGTTTGCCAAATAAATAAGTATAATTACATGCTTTGGGGGAAGGAGTGATACTGCACTGAGCTACATCCTCAGTCCTTCTTTACTTTTGTTGTTGAGACAGGGTCTCACTAAGTACTAAGTTGCCCAGACTGGGCTTGAATCTGGGATCTTCCTAACTCAACTTCTCAGATGCTGGGGTTATATCCAAGCATCACCACCTCTGGTTTGCTTCCTGTTTTAGGTAGGCTGGTTATTAAAGACCTTCATAAAAGCGAATGATGAGCTATGCAGACATCTGGGAAAAGAACACTCCATGCAGAAGGTAGAAGTACAAAGGCAGGCTGGGGATGTAACAGCTCAGTGGCACATGTTCCTGCCTGGCAAGCACAAAGTCCTGAGTTCAATTCTCAGCACCAAACAAAAGAAACAAACAAAAAGTACCAAGAATTCAAAATATTGGGTGTATGGATGTTTAAACTGATGTTTTAAAATCCAGACCAGTTTTCCCTTAAAAAAGCAGTTCATAAAGTTACAGGTAGGTGAAGGAAAGTCAAAATAAAATGAAGAGCCCCAGGCTCTTTGAGGTAGAGGATGCTTAGCATACCTGAAGGCAGTAAGAGGGTCACTTAAGGTGGAAGGGACCAGAAAGGGGCAAACTGCATAGTGCCACAAGCATAACTGTAAATTTTGTATTTTATTCTGAGTAAGAGTTTTACGCAGAGGTGAGACATAATGTAAATGTTTTAGCAGATTCACTCTGACTACTGAGCTGAGAATATATCATACAATATGAAAGCACAGTGAGCAATTAAGAAGCTGTTATACCATCCAGATATTAGAAGATGTAAATGAGAAAGATATGTGAATTCTGGGTATATGTGCAGATAAAACCACAAAATTGCCAGGCAAAAAGTGAAATCTGAAAAGAAACAAAAGTACAAAATGACTGTATTTTGGGGGCTGGGCAACCAGAGGGATAAAATATCAGTTTCTGAAATGAAGAACACTGCAAAAAGAGTAAGTTTGAGTGGAAGAATCTAGAATTTGGTTTAGATATGTTTACTTTACAATGCTACTTAGACAAGAAAGAGATAGTAGACTATCTGAGAATACTTATACAGAGATGCTAATAGAAATCACTAAGATTATTTCATACATTACCATAAAAAAAGGAGTATAGACAAAAAAAAAACCCAAAACAAACAAAAAACAATGTAAGAATAAAGGGGTAGCAAGAAAGAAGTGAGTAAAGTAGGTAGAAACGAAAAGCAAATAGTACCTTAGTAACCCACTAATAGGAAGAATTTTACATGAAGTGTACAAAGCAAAGATCTTGTAATTTTGGATGTAGAATGCCTTATAATTTAGATATTACATATATATATATATAATTTTTTTTCTTTCTTTTTTGGTCTTTTTGAGACAGGGTCTCACTATGCAGTTAGGCTGGCCTTAAGCTCACTTTGTAGCCCAGATTGGGCTCAAACTCACAGCAATCCTCCTGCCTCAGCCTCCTGAGTGCTGGGATTACAGGTGAGAGTCACCACATCTGGCTTTATTTATTTATTTGGTAGAGAATCTCACTACACAGCTCAGACTCTAGCGATCCTCCTGTCTCAGCACCCCACCCCACCCCCCTACCACCTTATAGGCGTGTGCATGCCTGGTTTTGGTGGCCGGCACAGCATTCAATACCAGGGATCAAATCTGGGTCCTTGTGCTTACCAGGCAGGTACTTAGACTGTGGAGCTATCTCCCCAGCTCCCCGCACCCCCCAGCTTTTATGTATTTTTGTACTTATTAATTTTGCAACAAAATGTTTTAAATAATCTCAGGTGGTGGTTCAGCTGCATCAAAAGATAAGTGTGAATCAAATGAGACAGTATACTGACCATTAGACAATTAGAGATCTGTGACTGCTAGACAAGAGCTTTTTCAGGGGAGGAAAAGGATAAAAGCTCAGTTTCAGAGGATTCAAGAAAAATAGAAATTTGTAGTTAAAGAGTAGAACTGAATCCACGCATTAAGTGCCTCTCTAGAAAGACCATTAAAACTGATGAGCAAACAAACAAACAAGTTCAATTCTACAAGAGCAAAAAAAATAGGAAAAGATCAACATAAAATTTCTCATCTGGAAAAGCTAAAAAGAAACTCAATCTGAGATAGGCACTCTAAGAGCTCATGTTTCTTAGAAGACCTGGATGCCTCCCAGAGATGGCAGTAGTTGTACCCAGAAATGCAGTAACTGTTGAGGTCTGCTTGAGAAGCTGTAAGATTTCATATCTTTGTCCATTCCAGACTGAAGCTTTATTCTGTGCAGTCAAGATAGGGTATCTCTAGACTGGGAGGCCCAGATACAGCTATTAAAGATAACTGCACTGAAACAGGGAAATTAAGTAAAAGTTTACACACTGAAAGGTGAAGTCCTTGCCCCTCTCTCCCTCCCTGACCCCCATTCCTAGAGCCTAGACAATTTATATATCCTTTAAACACTAGAGTAGAAAACTCTCTCCTGCAGGAATAATCAGCCCTAGGGCAGTAGAAGTAAAAGGATGGCTCACGTGCTACACAGGGCTGTTTGTTATGATTGAATCTTCTATAACGTTTGCCATCTGGTCTTAAGAAACCTAAGATATTCAAGTCAGAAAAGAAAGTTGTGTACAGTGAAATCTAGTTAATATATTCACCCTGCCCAGTAGGCTGGGGATGTAGCTCAGTGATAGTGTGCTTGCCTAGCATGTGCAAGACATGCTCAAGCCCCAAAATAGGCAAAAATTATATATTACTTATGTTTACACATAAGTCCAAAAATCTAACTATATACAACCTTGTAGCAGGACAGTCCCACAATATTCCTTTTCCT